GGCAGGCCCGGAAAACCAGGCGCCCAACCGAATTCTCTATCAGTCTCACCCTGCCGATCCGTTATTCCAAACTCCAACGCTCACGAATGGGGCACACCACTGGGCATTACCGAAGAGATACAGAGCCGAATGCTCAACCGAATTAGCAGCAAAGATACGGCTGTCAACCAAGGTGCTTCTCTTTCTGGAGCCCCCCAGAAGAATAAAAGCTACACTTAAGAGGATCCAATCCGCCAAGGTGTATTAAACCACCGCATGGGCTGCCCTGAATGAGCGCACATGGCCGGCTTCTGAAGTGAGAAAGAGAAACGGAAAAAGTGGACGTGATGAATGGGCAGAGATCGATGGGGTCTGCTTTTTCGAGTCTGCTTGCTGAGTTGCTTCAGTTCACAATCCCGTCTCAAACTCATGGGCATCATAGGCTGGTGGTCGTATGGACAGAGGTTCCCCAGGGAGCATCAACAGACCAGCCTCGAGCAACTCACTTTTGGGGACATTACGCACGGCTGATCGAGCTACACGGGCCCCTCACCTGCGAGCGTGAGCGCGATGGAGGGCACCACGGCCGTGGTCGCCTTGAGCAGCGCCAGCTGCGCCACGTTGAACGCGAGGTTGGTCGTGATGTAGACCAGCGGCAGCAGGGGCGCCCCGTGGCAAGGAGCCCCCCCCACTGCAGCGTGGCCCAGGAAGCAGCCCGCGCCGGTGGCCAGGTGAGCAGGCAGGGCGGGGGGGGGGACGCCGCGAGCACTAGCGACGAGCGGGAGTAGCAGCAGGAGGAACATGAACTGCAGGGCGGAGGGGGGCAAGCATTGGGAAACCAGAGGTTTGTGCAGACGGCGCTTCGCAGTCTTGCACCCACAGAGCAAGGGGAGCTTGAGTGACAGCCTAAAGCAAGAGGAGACGTCCCAATTGCTTACAAAAAACGAGGTCACATGCTTCCCTGGGGACAATCCAGACCACATCCGTCATTGGACCTTGTTACTCGATTCAGGAACCATGAGCAGTGGGGAAGGAAAAACCCAACGAGAAATGGCAACTCACTCTCATTTTACAGGCGTCGATTCATGCTGCTCCCCTGTTGCTCCGATGCTCAACCCTTGCTACGAGCACCTCAGCTGGAGGCGTGCTTATCTTCTGAGGAATTGACACAACAATGACAAATGGAGACTTATCACAGTTGAACTGCAGCGTCCGCCTGCGCTGTGCGTGTGCTCACCTGGAAGGCGGACCCCAGCAGGTTGACCACAAACAGGTCTAGGCTGCGCCCCGCGCCCAGGTGCTGCGGGGCCTCCTGGAACAGGCGCTCCTTGACCAGCGAGGCCGCAGCGGAGAACGACGCGCTGAGCAGGTACAGGCACGGGAACACAAACGACGGGCCGCTCGCCAGCACACCGGGGCCAGCATGGGCGCTGCAAGGGACAGGGCATGCAGTAAGAGAAAGCGGCGCCACCTGTGGGAGCAGAATACGGTTCAAGGGGAAAAGGGGAGCAGTGCCGGAGCTCGGTTGGTGATCGTTAGTGAGGGGACAGCGCTTGAATTTTATCCGAACCAACTTCCAATTTACTCTTCAGAGACAGCAGCGAGAGATCCGTTGAAAGTAGAGAGCTGCGATGCTCAATAAGGTAGAGCCTCCAAAAGTATAGGAGCTAAAGCTGGAAAGGAACAGCAGACTCACTTGGTCACCACTGTTGCAATCCCTGCCAAGGACACCACCACGCCCACTAGCTGGCCCAGGGAATAGCGCCGGCGGAGGAAGATTGCCGACAGGACCAGCTGCCACACCAGGTACCCCTGCGCGCACAAGGAGGAAGCATGGCAAGTTAGAGCGATGGAGGTCCTGATTGAAGGAGGGAGTGCAGTGCACAGCGGGCAGAGCTGAAGGCTTTCTTTCAAAGGCACAGAGGGAGCAATTACGACTGGAGTCTGGAGCACGCAGCACTCCCAATCTGCGCAAGTGTGTAGCACGCACCTGGCTCAGGATGGGAAGAATAGTACCGGGAACATACCCTGCACGAATAAGCAACAATAGGCAAGCTAGCGTCAGATTTTGAAGGCTGTTGCAGCTTGCAGTAAGAACGTCGTTTGGTAAGGTCTACAGAATTGCCAAAAGAAGCACCGACCGTTCAAGGATCAACCCTCAGTCCAGGAGCACATGACACCTCTCAGAGTTGCAGGCAAGTGGGTATTCATAATATGTCAGTGTTCACTGTTGAGAAAAGACACAACATCTGACCTGCCGCAAACAAGCCAAGCATGGCCCCCGCCGCTTCAAGTGCTCCGATGCAGACAAATTTGGTTTTGGGGTACCGGAGCATGTCTGGGCTCACAGCCCCGCGGCGCCAGCGGTGGCACACGATGCCGCTGTACAGCACCAGGTAGCTGGCCAGGGAGCGGGGGAGAGGGGTCAAGCAGGCGACAAACGGCAGACCTGACACCCGCGAGTTGGACTGATGCTGCAGACGGCAAGTGCGGTGCTGCTACGTGTCGTCCTTACAGGGCAGCATGGTAGAGACACAGACTGCCGACTACTATTCTGCACTGCATATTAGTCCATGATGAAACAAGTTAATTCTGTATCTGAATGATCTTGGCACAAGCCTAGCCGGTATGCCCTCACCCAAATGTGCAGATGTTGGCCAGCACAAACGGCTGGTCCGGCATAGAGGCAATGGCCATCTTGAAAAGAATCTTGTTGAGCACCGCCAGCAGCACGAGCCCGCCCGCCCCCAGCACCAGCAGCAGCTCTTGCTGGGTCACGCCGAGGGCAGGGATGGCTCGAGGAGGACGACCAAACAGCGGGCGAGGCAAACGTAATCGTAGACCGGGTCTGCTGCCTTTTGAGGCACCTCCAAAATCCGGGCATAGTATCTGCGCATGCCCCACTCCCTGAGGACCCTGTGCCTGCTCTACCCGCACCAGCGGCCATGGCCAGCGAGCACGATGCGGCACCTCAAAGCTGCTGGCAGCCCCCACAGGGCTCCCGCCAAGGGCATGCGTGTGGCTGCTCACAATGGGCGCCTCCTCAGCGGCCGGGAGGGAGCAGCGGACGCAGCCACCCTGCTGCTGGGTTAGCTGGGATCCCCTGGGATCCGCACGGTATAAGCGCCTCAAGAGAAGTCTTCTTGATGCTCGTCTCAGATCACTGATTCCCAACCCTGGCCAGGACCCGGCATTTATGTCGGGAAAAGGAGTTGCTTGGTCGCCAAAACAGCGAGAATTGCTGTGGCACCACTGCCTCCGGCTTCCTGCTTCCAACGTCCCCTGTGCGGAGGCGGTGCCAACATTGAGGGGCAGCACCGCGCTGCCTTGGCGAATGATGGCTGCCATGCCGTCAGGCCCTGCCGGGGCACTGCTAAAATATGAGATCGATCAGCGTTCCCCGCAGATCACGCCATCCTTGCCCGGTGGACACAAGCAGAGTATCCTCCATTGCCACCTTTGAAATCAAAACGCTGGCAAGCAATCCATCTGCATCACCATTTTCAGAGCTCCACTAAATTTCTAGCCTGCTAGTATGGTAGGCTAAGCTGTAGGTTTCCTGAACAGCAGCACCACCTAGTTAATATTGGTGGCAAAGGATGAAGGCGCCATAAGTTATCTATCGCAATCGGGCTACCTATCCTAATTCCTGCCTACTAGACGCGTCCCGGATTGCTGGGCGCGCCAACTTGAATGGCCATGCAGCAAGGCAGCACTTCGAGTTGCCTCCAAAATGCGGTTTCAACTTTCGCGTTCAAACTTTCAAAATCAGCACCGTGTGACGTGTCAGACCTAGCGGTACTCTCGGCCTAATTTCTACTCGGTGAATTTTTTGGCAATGCCAGCAAACGCCGTCAGGCGTGGCATTGCCTTGTATTGCCCCTGTTCGTCCATTCCCGTTTCCGCCTCCACAATCCATTGCCGGTCAACATTAGAATTTGAACGAGAGTTCCGAAACAAGTTGTAGAAGTTGCAACTCAGTAACTTTCCTGGAATCATAGGCCGGGAAAGTTGCACCAAGTTCCAAAACTTCTGCAGCTGCCGGTAGGGTTACACCGGGCAACCAATCGCGTTGAAACATAGCCCCAGCTGCGCCCGGCGAATTGGAATACTTTGGGCCGCAGCGAGTACCGGGCATCGTCGTACGGCTCGTATCTAGATCGAGATGAATCTCACACACGCGATGGAGCTGCGCATTGCCATTTTTCGCGATTGATAAATCGCCCCCAGAACTTGTCAAAATGTGTAGGCGGGGGCCGGGCCCAGCGCCGTCCAGGTACAGGCCCAGAGGGCACGCCGCACAAACGCCAGGATCGCCAAACAGGCAAAACTGTATTTCTTTGTACATAAATGAACTGCCCACACACTCAAATTGGTTTGGATGGGCGCCATCAAGGTGTGTACCAATTCAATTGTGCGCCACAAGTTTACAAGCATTTTTGCGCTATGCACCTGGGTGTGCACGCGTTCACCCAGGTTCACATACATACCGTACATACATACATACGAAGTGACCATCTCCCTAGGACTACCGTATTAAACCAACGTGCACACAAAAAGAGCTACCGGTATAGGGCCCACGTCAAACGAACCATATGGCGCCATATACCGTATATACGTCACCATACCAAGGGCACCGGCGCCGCTGGCGGCGAAGCTTAAAAGTGGGCGATGCCCCTGCTGCAAAACGTACAAAGTTGACGAATAAACGTTGGGAGAAATTTGTTCGGACGGTACCGGGCGCACAATGGCTTTGGATGGTACAAACCGTCACATGTCGTGCGGTACCCATCCTTGTAAAGCGCAGAAGCAACCGGGCATTTACAGCTCTTCGCGAGCAACCGCCTAGGTTTAGACACTAACCCCAACTAAATTTAGACTAAATTTAGTGTCCGTTACGCGCGCGCGACTGACTAATTGTAGTCTGGCCGTGAGTCCGAGTCTAGACTTGATACACAGTCAGCACACTCAGCTGAGTCTTCAAAGTGCGGTCAGTGCGGCAACCAGACAGCACTGAGCTTCTTGCTTCTGATCAGACGGTCATGATTGCAGCATTGCAGAAGAACGGAGCAGCTCAAATTCAGCTCAAACGTTCACAGCTGAGTTTCAAAATATGAAATTACCGTGCTGATCGCTGGCAGGTCGTTTTCGTTTGCTTATCTGCTTAGGCCCCATGATTCACAATGCGGATGCATTGTTGCGAACTGTGCGCGAACCACAATGTCGGTTGGGCCACCAGGTCCTAGCAAGATGATTAGCCTGGCTTGAATGTAGATGCACATGCTGGTTGGCCGACGTGAGTACCGCAATTGTCCAGGTAGAAGCGCCTTCCTATTATTCTGCTTTCTTGTGCTCGCGCTTCATCCGATTTGGGAGCTGCATTTCAACCTTTCGCAGCTTTGAAGCTATGAAGCTATGAAGTTTGCTAGTTGCTGATCTTCCACTGCCTTGAATGAGCAGATTCAAGAGTCGTTGCCAATAAACGGGTCAGAGGCAATGCCGTGATTGAGCCCAGCTCATTGCAACATGTCAGGTTGAATGGCGTCCATGTGAAGCCAAGCTACAAGAGAAAGTTGCAGAAAGGCTGGCAGAAAGTGAATGTTGCAAGAATCTTCAAGCTTTCAGTTTCAGAAGAGTCTGCTCGGTTGAGGCCCAGCTTGAAAACTGGCAGGTGAGCTTGAATAACGAGATCTGAGTCAGAACTTGTCGGCTGCTCAAAATCTGCTGACAATGCCAAGAGGGCGTGCTCAAGCCTTCAGGACATGGAAACGTTTGCTGAAACGATGATTCCAGTAACACATGAGAGACCGCATTATATGTATAGTCAAAGTTGTTGCTCGATCTTCTTGGCTTGCTCTTAACCCATTTCTGAACTTCCTTTTGCCTGCTTGACCTCTGCCCCGGCGCGCTCTGTAAATTCTTTGCTCAGAAGCAGTGCCGTACCAAACCACTGTCCTGATCCATGCAGGGATGAAAATACAGCTTGATTGACTCCATTCAACGCGACTCTTGAATTCTAAGCTCACCGAATCTGAAAAGGTAAGCTCTTTAGAATGTCTCAGTTGAATTTCGTGCTCCATTCTTGATGATATGATTGAATGGACAGGCCTGGTTGACTCTAAGCTCTCCACTCAAATGAAACCTGGTTGCCAAACAGCCCCATGCCAAACAGATTGCCATGTCTTACTTGAGCATTCTTTGGAATGTTGCATCCAGTGCTACATTAAACAAATGACCACGTTGCAGAAGACCTTCAAGCTCAATTTTCGAAGTGATTTCTCTTGCAGATCGAAGATCTTCAAGGTCAAGACAAAGAAGCTTTCACGCTACAGTCGCGCAACTGTTTCTTACAAGATTTCGGGACTTTCTTACGCTCTTTCCTTCGTTTCCTAGACCGGCATGGAGACTGATTCAGAGCAAACTGAGGGGGTGGCTGAAACGCCGCAAAGCTCCGATGACGAGAGTGATCAGCCAATTGCTGATCGGCGAGGAGAGAAGTCTCAGAAGGTTAAGCTTAAAAGCAAGGAAAAGAAGAAAGGCGTGAAGGTTAGCTCCGTCTCTGCAAAAAAGGCTCGAACAAAAAGGACAGTTTACTGTAGCCACTGCCATCAGCCAGGCCATCGTGTTGACGGGAAAAAGTGCCCTAAGAAAGGAAAGGCGGGGTGTCCATGCTGGAGGAAGAGACATGGAGGCTGTGGGGACAGAAGCAGAAACCACCCCGTCTGCGAAAAGTGCGGGGAGGAGCCTGATGATGACCCTTCTAACGTGCATCACGAACCAGAAACTTTGAACAACGAGGTGACCAAGTGGTGAGTTGTCAAAGCTCGTCAATTCAGTGCTTCAATACTTTTTGAGAATCTTTTGATCCCCCAAGACTGAAGGATAGAATGGAATTGTTATGCACAAACTTGTACAAGGTCTCGAGACTTTTCTGCTTTCTTGCAATGTTGTAGGCTTGTAACGAATCAAAGATGCCCTTGCCAAACAAAAGCCCGTGCTTGTCCTGTTCGTCTTGCAGGACCAACATTCTTGACGATCTCGGTTTGGTGGCGCTCCCAGGAAAGGAGGATAAGCGTTTGAGGCGTGATGCCGGATACCAAGCAGGTTTCTATTGGAGCGTGAGTACGAAGACAGGCTCCTTTTGTATGCACTGTGAAAAGCGAGATCTGAGCCGTGTCATGTATTGTATAAGCTTTTAAGATACATGAACTTCGTCCGCGTCTTTCTTCGAAGAAGTCTGAGCTTGATATCTGAAACGGCTCCACGCATGGTGCTCATGTGCAGGATCATCCCGATAATCCGAAGAATCGGAATCACAAAGGGGCGCGTCTGGTGAACGGGTTCACGGGCGATCACTTTGACGTCACCTCAGAACCAGTATACTCGGACGAGGAGCTGGCCGAGCTTTCCGATCAACGGCTTCTGCAACTCGCACACGAGCACTTTCGCCCCTACAAGGCCCACAGATTCGCCAAGCGCAAAATCAACGGCAAGATCGAGAAGGTGCAAGAGCTGGGCATTCTGAATGACCATCTGCTGCCAAGACTCCACAAGTAAGGTGGTTTCTAGCTGCAATGATAAAGTGATAGCAAGCTTTCGTTTAGGAGAAAATCACCTTCCTGAAGTATGCTGTGTGCTACTTGCAGATGCTGGTGGTTGAAGCGATGATTGTTTTACCCTCCTCTTGCGGAGAAACCTGCTTGCTGACAGAAGCATGACTTACATAGAATTAAAAACGAGCTACTAGCATTCATTTAGGGACTTTGTCTTCAGGGAGCTGCTCAGACGGGAGGCCATTCATCCGAGGCGGCCGCAAGGGAGGGCCGCTCTGCCTGACCACACGGAGGTCAGGAGAATTTCTATCAGTAAACCCCAAACCGGCCATTGCCAAGAGCTCCCCAAAATCAACCGAGGCTGTCATGGTCTCTTCAAGCTAGCTGCTTTCCCTGAAATGAAATCGTTCATTTCAACTTGCAGCACCTTTTGAGCGTTCGTTCACCAGATTCCGTCTCGTTGTTGAAAACTTCCAGCTCCTTATATAATGATCTAACCATCTGCAGGAGGAACGGGTCGAGGCCATCCGGAAAGAGGCTGAAGACTACGTCAACGAGGGTCTTGATCATCTTTTCGACCCGGAGCCGTCAAATCCTAATGACAACAAGTCCGAAACTCCAATCAACGTTGAAGATGAGCAGAGGCCCTTTGATCCTGCTCCCGAGCCGTCTGAAAGACAGCGCCGTAAAAGTCAAAATCAAGACTCGTCCCCAGCTAAGGACTCGGCCAATGACAGTGCCAATGGCAATCCCAGGTCGGTACCAAAAAGATTTCACTTCAATAAGTGACGTAAAGTGGGGCACAAATGCAGTACTGGATTTCATTGGTCGTTTTTCCAAGAGCAACTTCAGTGTGTGGAGCAGGCTTTGCTTTTGTTCCATTTCGCATGCTTCAACGGCAAGTTCGGCTTCAAATCAATTCCCAATGTGCATCTACGATTTATAACAACTCCTGGCAGTGTGCATTGAAAACCGTCCGGTGTCTCCTTTGTAACAGGGAGAAGCCTTCCAACTTGGCTGCCGACACAAGGGAAGCTGCTGCTGCTGCTGATGTCACCGACATGGAGCTTGACCACAGCGAGTACGTTTCTGACACCTTATCAAGGTGGCCATTGCCCAAGCTTTAGCTAGCTGAGGAGCCCATTCATACGTTTGCTCAACTCCTTGGGGTCCTGACTTTTCTTCATTGCCTTTGAAGTTTCTTCTCCAATGGGATCTAATGAAGCAATTAATATAAAGAACCGTGATACAAATGTGTTTTCAAAGCTCTGACCAGGATCCACATTCTCGGAGGCAAATCAGAAAACACTTTTCGCTCACGACCCTGTCGGAATTCTCCAGTCGACTTAGGACGTGTCTTTTGTGCCTGTGCAGGTTTGAATCAATTGAACTACCCGACGTGGACGAGCAGAAGTACGAAGCCAACGCGAAGCTCGAGCGTTTGGTGGTTGCAATTACCAAGATTTTGACCAACGTTTACACCTCAAGGTAATGAAAATTTGACAAACTTATCAAGCAAAGAAGCAAACCCTCGGAGAAAACGAAAGTAGGAGCAGCCTGTTTGGTCGATCGTAAAGAGTATCAGTATGTTGATCACGGCTTGATGTCTGGCTGTATGGATCATTGGAGTGAAAGTATACCTCAACCGTCCAATTTGTAGGAAGGTTCACGTACTGGGACTGCAAGAGCTTCTGTTGATGGAAAGCCCGGATCTGAAAGTGGAAAGTGCCGAGGGGAAGGAAGCGGTGCTGGACGTGAGTTATCACCTTCTCTTCCAAAAAAACTTTGCACCTTTTGCAGCTTTTTAGCTCACTCTTACTAACTGTCGTTGCACAAATTTGCAAAGTGCCATTGACTCGCAGGACTCAATGCATTCGTGCTCCAAAGCATGAAGTAACAATAAGCAGAAGTTGCCACTGGCAAGGATGAGGAGTCGGGAGGCTAGGTTCGCACAGCCAGTTGTGCTTTTTCATATAGGATTTGAATGTGTCCCTGATTCACAACGAATCCCATGGCTTATCCGCAGGTGCTACAAGACGTCGAACTGGCTGAGAGTGTGGACAAGATTCTTGAGGCTTCTGTGCAAAGGTAGAAACTCATTCCTAAATACGATAGACCTTAAAGTCACTTCCGGAAAAGATTCAATGAAGCTGTCATGTCACCTTCTATTGAACACAAACTTATGCGAGCTCTTCAGTACTTCGTTGTTTCAACGGACTCACAGTGTACTTTTATTCAGATTGATGCCAGTGGGAAACCTAATGAGCAACTTCTCGTGCCTGAACAGGTTTCCTGAACTCCAAAAGCTGGTCTCGGAACAGACTGCAGATGTTACAGAGGCGATGGAGCATGTCCGGTAGGCCCTGAACTCTGACACGGTGCTATCATAACTAAGTCTTCGGCTTTCTTTCAGTGTTTTCAGTCGAGCTTTCCCTCAGGATCATTAGATTATAAAAAGTAGACTGATGCAGTACTTATTAAGGGTCGACGAAATTGATACTTTTTGTTTGTGCTAGCAGATTTTAATGAAGTTCACATGGTTGCCGATCTCTGAAGAGTTGTATGGCATCGCCGCTTGCCTGCAGTGGTGAAGTCTCAGCGTACGAAACTACACTGGAAGATCTGCAAGGCAAGCTTGTCCGGTTGCAACGTGAGATTGGGATCGTCCAACAACAAATACAAGAGTACAACGTCTTCCTGAACGATTCAAGAGAAGCCTTGCAAGTACACGAGGACCAGAAAAGGCTGCATCTGATCCAGACACGTAAGTTGCAATCATTCAAATCTCCTTACGAAGCATAACACTAGCTTGCTTCGAGATGATCGCTTACAGAGCTCTCATGTCCGACAGGTACCACAGAGTTGAGGCTAGCAAAGAATCCCCTTCGAACGGCTAAAAAGATATGGTTCTGTCTTGAAGCTTTGCCAACTTGTCTGGGGCATATGGCCAACTTCATCTGCTGATTGTTGGAACACCTTGTTGGGTCTTTTTTTGGCAAATCTGTGAGATTCTTACCTTGTTCCTTGATCCTTTCTTCTGCTTTCAGTCCTTGACTTCACGCTCGACCCCATCACAACCGATCCGCAAGAAGATGGAGACCCTTCTACTTCCGAAGTAGCTGTTCAGAGAGTGGCGCAAGGACCTCGGCGAAGCTCTAAAAAACGGAAACGAGAAGAGGATGAAGATCCTTCTTCGAGCACCGATACGCCTGCAGCCCTGGACGAGGCCCAAAAAGCCAAAAAACGATCTCGAGGAGGCTCTAAACACAGGGAAAGAAAGCAGAGACGAGAAAAGCGAAAGCGGATTCGAAAGGCGACAGAATCAGCTGCTCTCAAAATTGATGGCTTGAGCACGTCTTCTGAGGGAACGGCAAAAGAATCTCAGAAAATTCCGGCACGATTCAGCCCCGAAAGCCCTGACGCGTCTGGCTTGTGCGCGCCTTTGAGGTGCGCCTCGCCTCCAGCGAAAGGGCTCGATCGGAGCCTTTTTGGCTCCCAAGCCCCTGCTAGCGGCTTGAGCGCGTCCTCTGGGCGCGCCGCGCCTACAGCGGAGGGGATCGCCGTGGCTAGCAAACCCTGCCAGACATCCGACGTCGGTAAAGAACCGAAGCCTCCTGCCAGCGACCTGCGTGCGTCCACAGGGCGCGCCTCGCTTGCGGCAGGCAGGGCCGCCGTCGGATTGGGGGGTCGGCAACCTTCCAATGATCTCCTTGCCAGCGGCTTGCGTGCGTCCCCTGGGCGCGCTGACACTGCGGCGGGGGGGCAGGAACGAAAAGCCGTTGCGAAAAACGTGCCGGAAAACCTGGAGCCTGTAGGAAGTGAAAGGCAAGCCAGGGATAAAGCTCCTCGAAGTGCGTCTTTGGATAGCCTCCAACCTCCTAGCCGTTCCGAAAAATCTTCTGAGAAACAAAGCACGGTGCCAGCGGACGAATCAAAAGCTTCTGCAAAAGGTACGGGTTCTATGAAGAAGCAAGCAAAGCTCGGTCAATTTCAGGACCGACTGCCGACGAGCTTGACAAAACTTCAAAAGAGCGTACAGGTCTTACATGGAAGACCAGGCACCGTTGCTTACACTCGACGCTCAGTGTTTCCCGAGGAGGGTCCATCTCAAGGTAATGTCCAATCAAATGACATGTAATTTGTTTTGCGTCAGTGCTGACCCATCTCAGATTATTTCAATCAGAGTCTGTCTGCTCGAAGTCGGTCAGTCGCCCTGGTTCGACTTCGACCTACTGAGACACGGTCTCTGATCAAAACTCGCTCGAGGGGCTGTTGTAATTTTGATATCTGACATGAATTTTGAAGTCCAAGTTTAAAGTAAGGATGTCGACTGCAGGCTCTGCGATCAAAGGCTTGAATTTGTCTGACTTGGTAATTGAACTCAATCTCGTGCATATGTTGCAGCAGCAGCAAAAGTCGATGGCGCTCCTCCACCAACAAACGGTCCTGCTGAACACGCTGGCCAGTCCGACCACCAAGAAAACCCCGACCAACGAGAGCGGCCTCCCATCACGTGAGCATAACTCATCAACTTTCAGTTGAAAACTTTGGAAGGTTGATACTTTGTTCTGACAATAGGCTGCAGATCTACAAGAACATTTTAGAATCCCTAAGTTGCTTCAGGTCACTCGATCTTATGCACAGTACTTCGGAACGCTTTTGCAGCAAGCGGTCATACTGGTCCTTTATTCAAAGATTCTACAAGGCTTCCAATTCGGGAGCGGCTGAGGACATCGAAGCTCTTGAAGCTTCTGCTATAGGTGAGCCGAATATGTATACCTTCGAACTGCCTTTGAGCCCCTTGGCTCTTGGAACTCTCAATGATCTGGCATGTAATTGAATATGAAGCACCTCCAGTTTTGACTCTTGTTGTTCTTCATTCATCAGTGCCATATCCAATGTGCCGGTATGATTCGCATTCGCAAGCAATCTCTTGAATCTATTCAGTCTTTTGTCTACCAGGCAGATTCCTCCTCCGCACAGCAGACTTGCAAAAAGGTGGCCTCATAGAGGGACTGATGAGCGATTCTGAGTTGCTGACACTGTGGAGAGCATTCTAACTGATGATCACGGCGAGGAGGCGAGCTCTTGGGAGTAGGTCGCAGTTGGCAAAGAGTATTCACTCTTGCAGATTCGAGCACTGAAAATCTGTGTTTCTTTCGTATCGTACTACCTTTTCGAAACCTGTTTGAGCAACCATTTGCCTCTCATCGGGATCAAATGCATCAGGATCCCAAAATTGGGTTTGCTCAGATACGCTGACCGGCATGAAGACAACCTTTTCGAGTCCACCTGAGCTCCTATTTCCTATTCTTACAGGAGCTTATCAAAGACTTTTGGAGTCTGCGGTTGGCTGTCAACATCTGCACGAGTTGCTCTCGAAGCTTCGATTCAGGTAAGCCTGGTAAATTTCGCCGATGATTTTAGCACCTAGCTCAACTCGTCTCACTGATTCACTGGTCAGCACCTCTCCCTTTCACAAGATTTCCATTGCCAATTGGTTTGGAATCCTGTTTTACCGTATGGTAAGCGAGCTCTAGTTGTCTCCCATGAACCAGCACAATTGTAGAAGCGGTTAGTAAAAGAAGCTTTTTAGATACTGACAATCTGATTGACAAGTTAATGTACCATTCTTTTGGCAGGGGCCGGACACGATTGTGCATCCGCCAGTCCCTCTGAGCCCGGCCGTTGGAGAGAAAGTGGAGCTTTTCGATAGAAAGCGCCAGTTGTAAGGCCGTCGATCCATCTTTTCAACAACGTACTAATTCGCTTCTTGATTGCGTCCTTCCGAAAACTGCTGTGCAATTGCTTGATCTTCTATTTCTAGTCGACGAAGCCTGTAAGTATCTCAACAGTGAACATTTTCGAATCTGCTGAAAATCCAAAAGTAGCACTGCTGAAAGGCATCAATCCCTTTCGATTTCCTGTTTGCAGCTATGTGGACATGAAAGTAACAGACATCTCCATCAAAAAGGATCCCGCTGATGGCAGCTACTACAACGAAACAATTGTAAGGCTTTTCGAGCTGCTTCTTGAGCTGTAAGCTTCTTCGAGGTCGCCGTTGGGACGTTGTCTGCAAGTTTGGCGTGGCCTGATTAAGTGTCGAATGAGCCAATAAGCACTACTGTTTTGCGGATACTGGCAATCATTAGGAAACGCATCACTTCCCGACTTTTCCGTTGTTGTTTCCGGATGAACAGTCATTCTTTTCTGCTACGGTTCCACAAGAAGGTACTCACTGTTCAACCGTACCGTAAGCAGCCATATGAATTGCCACGGTTTCACTTGGTATGGCACTTTGAACAATGGTAGCAGTTACAGTGAGCGCGCAAGGTCTTTGTGAGCGTTGAACTTGAAGCAGAGCATACATGCTGGCTGAATGACGTACCAATGGCAGTTGCGTGAATCTCGTTCATGTACAGCTCGTGAGGAAGAAGGACTCTGCGTTGGTGAGTACTAATGTGGCAACAGAGATCTGGCGGTACAATGACCGAGAGAAAGACCCCAAAGTGCCTGGTTACGATGACGCAGAGGAGGAGGAGGACGATAGTCCACCGTCCTACGAAATGTGAGCCCAAACGGACTCCAGACCCTAAACTGCATTGCCAATCAAGTGCACAACGACCTTTGCTCAAGCTCCACTCGTATTAAGCCGGGGCGACTGGTCAGCTCTGATGGCAGTTTATAGCCATGGCCCAAGTTCAATCGATCTGATACAAGTGATCAACCGACCTTTGCAGGGAGAGAGCTCTCACATATTCGATCTTGAGGTTATTCAAGGACAATAAGGGGCTTCCGGAGATCACCTTGCGCTGCTTGGTCCAAGAGCTCCGGGCGAGAGGCGAGTGGTTGAGTGGCTGCTCCGTCCAATTCTTCAAGAAGGTTCTTGAGGTAAGGGCCAGCTTGGCCCGGCATGCAGCAAATGACGTTTGGATTCATGCCTCCTCAAATCAAGCATTCCAGATTAGGCTGGTCTCATGCAAGTGAACTAAGTCCACTGAGTTAAAAGCAGTGTCGAAACAATTTGAATCTGTCCACAATATCCAGCCTCTTTATCAAGTTTCAACGGTCAAACGAAGGTCGAACTTGATAAATGTTACTCAGCTTCACTTGCATTAAGGTTACAGTCGCGGGCGCCGGGTCGAAGCTGCTGTGCCACATGTTTTGTACTGAAGCTGTTCCGACGATCAAACGCAGCTCATGTCTACTTTTTGCAGGCCCTGGAAAATAGCAACCAGCTCATGGTGACGTCAAGCAGAGCCCATCGACTGTGATGATGGACGAACTTCCGACTACTATGACCTTGCATGCACAAGTGACTGGTCCGACTTTTGTAGCAAGCATTGCCGCCGCGCCCCGCGCGCTTTCCATCCGGCCTGCCTCCTCGAATTGATTCGATCGCATGCAATGCGTATGTACGTAGTGAGGCATGATAGTAGTTGCGCATGCTTCTAGTAAAGGTCGGGCATCAGATCGAACTTCCGTTAGTATGTCATATTAAAGCTTTGCGCTCAAAATTAATAACAATAAATATCACATGAAGACGTCATGCGGGCGGCCATATATACTATAGTGATTGCACTCTGAAGTCACAGGGCATCATGCATGTTTCCAATGCTTCTGGTGCATGCGCAACATGCAGAGCGAGGACGCGCTAATCCTCGGCTAGCCACGCGGGCGCAAGCTTCTCGGATAATCTTTGACTGCAACAATTTACTGACTAACGTACTGACTGGCAATACTAGGTTTGCGCAAAGCCTGAGCCGGTTGGATAGTGACACTCTAAACTTCAACGTACAATCATCGACAAGTTGGTAAAGCCTGAAAGATTGCCGAGAGCTCACTTCAACCCGAATTGAGCACATGCGAGCCAAAACTATAATTACTTGAGCTTCTTGATCCAATTGAGGGCAGTAATGCTAGCATTATCATCGAGTATACAATCTAAAGTAACCTCGAGCATCGTCGGGAGTCACGCTTCCAAATCCCCGCACAATATGCGACTCCATGTCGCGCCGAACGTCCTCCCGCCCATCCTGGGCCACTACTTTGACTTTGCTGAAGGCCTCCTCAATGGGGCTCAGGTCTGCATACGCAAAGTTGGAGCCTGTCACAACGTTCATCACGTTGCGCTATCACCTTTCTTCATCCAAAAGCAGAAAGCGATGTCATGCAGGAAGGGCTTTTCGAAGGCGAGAAACAACTCACGTGCCACTGAGAAGCAACTGAGAAGCATTGCCCACGAAGACAATGTCGATTATACCTGGGGAGTAGGCAGGCAGGTAAAGTAGTTTGATGCCGTACTCTTGAAGTAAGTGCTGCATGAGAGGACCGTGAACTCTTTTCAGGTCGATGTGACATGGGTTAAGCTCGCACTTTCCCAGCTTGAGTGACAAGTCCAGAGTCGATTGCAGGAACTGCCACCAAAGAATCACATACGGGGAAGCTATGTGCAAAGCGAGCCTTCAAATCTGGTTGCAGTCAGCTCAGATCACGAGACACATGGCGAGCTCTCGAAGCTGCACTTACCCGCACCAGCTCCTCCATGCGCTTATGCACGCTGGCGTTGTCCGCAACAAAGAGCTTGAATTTCCCACTGGCAAAGATTGGCTCGCACTGGCAGATGAATTCCCACCAGTCCTCGCCGTCGACAGCCCCTTTCTTGATTGAAACGTGTTCGAAGCCCTCCGTAGATAAGACACCGATGCACTGCAGGTTTGACCAGTGCATATTCTTTAAGTCATTCAGGATCTGGCCTATGCCGCCCAACCTCCCTCTCAACATCTTGTCTGACGATTGCCAGTACTACCGCTCAGCCAGACAACGGAGCAAGCTGAGTAATCATGGGAGTGTTTTCTGAACTCGGACAAGCACCCGCCCCACTGATCTAGAATCCGATCGATGATCCTGAAGGTGTTCCTGAACCCCGAGAAGCAACCCAACTCTCAGACACGGAATTGTTCGTCTCGCTCACCGAGTGATTAGGGCAGAAGACCTTTGGTCGGATGTCCACTGCCCGCGTCTCCCCGTGCGCGGGCGCCCACCCATAGCGCCTGAGGCCGTTGTTATAACTGAACGCCGTCTCGTCCGCAACGAGGATCTCCTCAGCGGGCACCTGCAGGGCCTCCGCTAGGTACGCTTCCCGCCGCGCCTCGTTCTCAGCTGTCATTTGCTGGGACGCAATGAGACTAAGCTGCAGCAGCGGATGCCCCAACATGATTTTAAAACGACTCAGAGGTCAGCCACTGCCAACGCATGTCCAATGAGTCACAGTTCTTTGGACCAATAAAACACCATGCCGCTGCCCCAACTTAAGGACTATGAAGTAGTACTGGCTGCCTGGAATCAATGAGCTATTGAGCGACCCTTTTAATTCAAGACGGACAAACTGAAAACACCAAAGCAGATTCTTTCCAGAACGTGGAAAGCGGTGACCGACTGCTCTGTCAGCTGGTGGGACTAACCCACCAGACAAGCTTGATGCTGTGCGGGGACCTTCTGAAACATAGAGACAATGAAGCACTTCTGGAGCTTTTTCTAAAGTCCCAAACTCATCCTGTGCGGATCCAAATTGACAAGCTGATGGTGCAAAGCGCAAGAGAAGCAGGATACAAACCTCACCTTCTTGTGAGAGAGTCCCAGCTGCTCCTTCATAATGCGCCAAATCGATGTCTCTGAGATCCATGGTTGCTCCACCCTGCCTTCCAAGGTTTGCGCCATAAGCGCTCGCAGCTCCCAGATATAACGAGTCGTGTCGCGCTCTAAGAATTTTTCTAGAAAGAGCAGATGGGCCAGCTCAACCTTGCTGTAGTTGGTGGTGCCTTTTGCTAGTGGCTGAGGGTTTTTCTCTCCTCATAACGAACGACATACTTTTTTACTGTGGTTGGATCCACTTCAAACTCGCGCGCCAGCTCAGCCATCACACCATGAGGCCGCTCCTCACCCATTTCAGCTGCCCTAACCTTATATGCCTGAACAATTCTCTGCCTCATCTCAATGTCATAATGCTTTCCTGGCTTGTAGTCGCCAGAGAATCTGTTGGTGCGCCGCCTTTCCTGGCAGCGAGGGTCCTCACCCCTGGTTTCACCAGGGAGCGGTGCCATGCTGCTGATTGAAGGCCCTAAGGCGGTCTACAAATCAGTAAAGCCAATTGCTGGAAGGAAGATAGGAGGAGCCGACTGACCAGAGCTCCAATGTTCTGCAGCTCACCGGATGATTGAGCAGGCAACCAAGCTGCATGCTGCAAGACTGTAGGTAGCGGCATGCTGAATGCTGCTAAATCACGTGGAAGCTGCAGCTGAACTGAGGTGTGAGGGCTATCATCCTTGGGCTGCCGCCCGTCCAAATGCTTCTTTCCGGGCGCCCCAATTCTGCTCGTCGCCAGCCTCCTCTCCTCATGAAGTCAGCAGGAAGCCCTGGCCCTGGGTGCAGTCCGACTCTCAGTGTCACTGGCGACCCCTGGCGGTTACCATTGGACCGCGCAAGGCTGTAGCCTAGTTCTAATTTAGAGACCTCCGACGCGATTAGTCACAATTAGACGAAATTTAGACTAGTAGAAGTAGTCACTAAACCTAGGCGGTTGCTCGGAAAGAGCTGTAGGTGACCTTAGGGTTAGGTCACAAAGCACTGATCTGGTACCTATGTTAGGGTTAAAGAGGGCGTCAGGTCGCCGCGAACTGCAGCGACACAACAAGTACCAGATCTGCTTTGCAGTCGCCGCGACAGGACCTGCTGACGTATTTTGTCGGCGACGGCAAGCTTGAATATCCACTCTGATGTCGCTTTTTGACGTCAGGCGTTACGGGTCACAGGACGCCCACTTTAAGGCACTACCTTTTGTCGCGTCCCTTCCCTGTGAATGCTCTCCGATTAGGGTTCCTACTAACGGCTGAGCCACTGACCTTAGGGTTTTCGTGCGGTTTGGTCTTAACCGAGCACTTTATCGCCGTCCAACGAAGGGCGATTTTCCCAAATTTTGTTCGTCAACTTTGTGCCTGCTAGCAGCTAGAGCCTAGTGATAGGTAGTACCGTAGTAGGTAGGTAGCACCGTCTCGAGATCTGCGCATGAAATGAGATTATCGGAAGCACCGGTAGCGAAGCACCGGTCGGATACAAGTTTTATAGGTACGGTACATGGGCGTTTGCGCCCTCTCCCAGAGGCTCTCTGTATATGGCCGCGCAGCGGCCCGGGTGGCGCCGGGCCTCCTTCAGTTGAAGTATGCAAGCTCCCGGGGGCCCGGCAAGTCCAAATCAAAATCAAATTTTAAATTCCAAAGCGAGTTCAAGTTGAACCGCATGCATGTAGGATTCCAGATCTGCATCGAGTGTTTGGTGGTCAGAGCGATTTGCTGACGGCACAATGCAGGGCGAGCAATGGGGCGGACGGTTGCAAGTGGTCGTTTGTCCTCATTTCATGGTGGCGAAAGGGTCCTACAACAGCTCTTACAACCAGGTTTAAGCTGAGGATATTTGGATGTAGGTCAGGGTGGATACATTACAGCTCGAGGCATTCAGGTCCGATGGGGCCTTCGGAACTTTTGGACGGGGTTCGCTTGGCTTTGCACTCAGTGTATGGCGCTCTTGATGGAGTGATCTCGCCGCGCGTTTTTGCGCTGCTTGCGCGCTGTGGCATACAGCCCGTCCTGAGCCCTGCCACCGCCGCACTGCCTTTCGTAGCCAGCCCCACCCCTGTTGTGCTGTGCTGCACAGTGTACCTAGCAGTAGTGGCGCTTGGGGTGCTGGCGATCCGCTCAAGCAACGCGGCACCGCTGGCCAGAGACCCTTTCCCCCTCAGAACCCTGATCATTCTGCACAACTGCTTCTTGTTTGTGCTCAGTGCATTCATGGGTGGAGGACTGATCACAGAGGCAGTTAGGAACAGGTAAGCAGCATCATTGGAGGACGCCATCAGCAGGTGCATGAAGTCGATCTCGGGGTCTTTAGTAAATTCAGCTGCTTCGTCAACTGGTGGTGGGCTGGTTTGTGGCAAGCCCCGGAAGCACGTGGAAGCCAGGCTGTTGCTCATCTATTGTAGCAGCCAAACATGTACTTATGTCGTGCTTGCAGGTACTCACTCTGGCACAATCGGTATGAACCAAGTCAGTTGGCGGTGAGTGCCAGTGTTTGTGTTGGGTAGACCACAAGGGCCACTGTGCTTGCACATGTTCGTTGAAGGAAGCACAAATGCTCGTAGTGGCTTTTTGGACCTGCGCGCCAATTTGTCAGAATGCGTGTGTGGGAGTGCGTCCAAAGGCATGACCATTACCGTACGTCTCTGCAGATGGCACGTTTGCTCTACCTCTTCTTCATCTCCAAGATCTACGAATTTGGCGACACAGTAAGTGCCCAGCACCACAGGACTGAAATGCTGTCCTTTCAAGCGAATGGACGGTCAACTTGTTCGGTTGTCGTGAGCGCATGTCAGGAACGTGCACATCAATCTGGAGTGCCCAGTTACAGGCTGCTGCATACCCCTTCCCATGAATGCCCGGCGATGGAGTTTGTGGGGTGGTTTTGGCAGTCAGGTTCCCACCGCCGCTGTTTCAGTGCAGTTCATTATGCTGCTCAAGCGCAACACCCGCCAGGTCAGCGTCCTCCACGTGTACCACCACTGCTCTGTCGCGCTCATCTGGTGGCTTATCGTCTACCACGCGCCAGGGGGCGAGGGTGAGCCTTGCTGGACATGCCAAGTGTTGGTCTCAGGCCCCGAGTTCAAGGCAGCCGTTTTGCAGATTCAGCGCGATTAATCCAGCGGGTCTAGACTGCAAGCTCGTTACAGCGAGGAATATGGGTTTGACTCTCTCTTATCCATCATATCCCCCATTACAACTTGCACCTTTGCATCCTCCAAAACAGAAGGTCTATTGCCTCCTTTGTACAGAGCTTCGGTACTAAATGAAGAAGTACCCCCTTCTTTCGTGCAGCTTATTTCTCGGCTGCCTTGAATTCGTGGGTACATGTGGCCATGTACTTGTATTACCTGCTCTCTGCTGCAATTGGGAAGGACCCAGTCAGAAGAAGGAAGTACCTCTGGTGGGGGAGGTGAGGTCTTGTGTCCCCATGCATCAAGCTTTTTCATAAGGGAATGTCTTGTGCTTTTATGCTGCAATAAGTGGGTCCAACCCTGACCAATCTTTTTGTCCCGACGTTTTCAACCTGCCTGAAGCTTTTTTTGAGCTTGCAGGTACCTGACTATGATGCAAATGACCCAGTTCATCATCAACATGATTGAGTCAAGGGTCGTGGTCAGTGGCAAGAATCCCCCATATCCACAATTCATTGCAAATGTAAGTATTGCACACCACATCAAGCGTTGCACTTGCATCTTTGGTGTCCACTATCTATCCATGTATTGCAGAACCATTCTCGGAAAGAGTTGCCTTGCTCGAGAACAATGAGAATCAGCTTTGCAAGCCCTCGCTATCCAATCTGCAAATTCGGCTGGATGGGGAACAGCCAACGAAATACATTTGTTTCTTGTAGGTCTTATTCTATTACATGATAAGCCTCTTTGCACTGTTCGCGAATTTCTACGTTCAAAAATATGGCTCATCAAGGAGGTCAATTGCCAAGCTCAAAAGCTTATGATCAGGCAAGGGTAGTATCTCAGTTGGCTATGTACTTGTGAGCAAGGTGAATTTGAGTCGCATCATTGGCCATTGTCGGCCTGAATTGTCAAGGTAGGACGTGGGGGACCGCATCTAAGGTGACGCTATTTAGAAACCATGATATTAGGGAAACTTTGAATTGTAGCACATCATAAGAAGCTCAACCTAGGTGATTTTTGAATACTGGAATGTCCAAGATCTTGAGGTGAGATTAAATGGATGTTTTGCACTCTGGTTCTGTCCGCTGCTGTTTATGCCGTACTAAGTACTTGCTTGCGCTGCATCTCTAAGATGACTTGTTTATTCATAAGGATATTCTGACCGACATAACCCGAGGGTTAAGGCAGAACTGCCATGTGCGCACTAGTTGCGAATGCAGGGTATCTTGAGCTAAATTACTATAGTTTACCGCATATAGCGGGCATAACCTGTTGTAAGCCTGTCAGGCGTATCCACTGCTAACCGGACACAAGTTGGTACGAGTTCGGAGTTCATTGTATGCCCGACTGAATCGCTCAATTAATGTAATTTTGATTTGGACTGCAATTGTAGTTTATGCAAATAGCCGCATATAGCAATTGACTTGTAGATATCATGGGGAATTGTTCCCCATAAATAGTTCACTTGTAACCGGGCCGGGCCGGGTGTTGAACAAGTTCCTGGCATGGCCGGGCAACATGCAAACCAAACCCCACAATTAGTTCTCCATTGGGCCCGTGGGGAGCCCGAGTGCGTTCGTATATGCAATTTGCAATTGCTATACCGATCAACTTTGCGCATTCGATTTCTTACGTATACGAGGCCGTTGGAATCAATCACATAGGAAAAATACATATATATATGTGTGGAAAATGCATGATACATGCAGCTTGGCCGGCCGGCCGCGGCAGTGACTAGCTAGCTCATACTGCTCATGTTGGTCTTTCTAACTCTTATGCGTTCGCTAGGTAATTAGCTTACATGGAAAATTTGAGCCACCTATAGCTTCGATCGATCGGCGAAATTAACGGCCGTATATTCAATGATGAGTCAATGATGGTATGGCATGACCCGTTCATGCCGCCCACGAACTGCTGAACATGCAAGGGCGTGCAGTTGGCCCGGGGCACCGATATCCCGCCGGCCCCGCCCCATCCAATGTGTAGATATATGGAGGGGCTCCGCCGGCCCGCAATACTGGGCATCCCTGCCAAGGGCCACGCCCCCGGTCCCACGATTGTCTAGCTAAACGAAACTCAGTCCGGCGTTCGTTGCGGAAGGTCGGCCGCAATGAATCACGATTCACAATCCTCAGCATAACTGGCCCCTAGGCTCTCTCCCTAGGCCGGCCTCTTTCGGGCCAATGCAACCTATCTTTCACCCAAGGTGCCGGTCGGACGGTCCCGAACCCGCCCCACAGTACCACAGCGCATGAAACCAGGCCAGCTAGGAGCAATTCCCAAACCCCCTATATTAGAATATTAGGCTACCACAAACGGCCCCAACGAGCTTGAGCGGCTCCAAGGTTCATCCCCCTGAGCTCAGTATGATGCCATTGTCGATCAAGAGCACCCCGGTCGGCCGCCGGGCCCTAGCCCCGATCTTCCAAGTTCAGCGTGACGTCAACGATGCCAATGATGGAGGCTGGCATTGCTAGTGCCGGACGTCCTTGTTTTAAGTGCTCATGAATGCAGCACTGGAGGCCGATGTCGCGCGTACGGTCTGCCGCTCAAAACGTGGGCCATGCATGTCTTTCCCCAACGTGGTTGAAAGCCTCCGCGCCGGGGGTGCGCCGGGAAGCGTTTTCTTGGCCTGGTGGCCCTATGTGGAGAAGCTTGCGCGTCTTGGACTCGTTGCTGAGAGGTTCAGCTGAGCGCAGTCAACCGGGCGCGGCCGGCGGCCATGCGGGTGTGACGGTTGGACGGGTTTCAACGCTG